GATGTTGTATACCCGTGTCCCTAACCATAACCCTAATGTTATCCACCCCTATCCCTAACCCTGACCATAGCCTTAACCCATTCACTTTTCCTTGGCCAGCTTGTTTTCATCTCTTGTGTGAAGTGTTCCAGTATTTAATTCTGCTGTCTTCTCTTTAATTTTGGATTTCCCTTTGCCTTAGAGCATCCGATACCTTAGCCTGGATTATTCCTTTGTAGTTCAACCCTGGACTGTGTTAAAGGACCATTGATTTTATGTCTGAGTTTGGAGTTGTGGCATTTGGGTCCTCGTCCTTGTGTTTCTTCCTTTGATCCTTATTCCTTAAATTAGATGAATAATTGAACAGTTGATCCAGAAAAGCCACTAACTAAATAACGCTTGATCCAACAGTTGTAGATGTCTTCAGACCACTGAAAAACAATTGAAGTAATTCAATCAAAGCGGGTTGGTGTAGGCGTTGAACTCGGTATCGTCCCTCACCCACTTTGTCACAGTGATAAACACACTGGATTGCATTTGGAGGATTTGCTTGATTGAAGTTAAAAGTTAAAGCATTTTCAATGAATATTAGAGGATATACGAGGGCTTTGAACGGATCAAAACCATTACCACATCGACTAAAATGTAAAAAATTGAATAAAAATCGACCTAAGAAAGACTTTTCCCTCAGGAGAATTATAATAATCTTACAAGAAAAGCCAATAAAGTCATTTCGAGGCTGTTTTATTTAACAGGTGGAAATTGTGGGCTTGGAGAATCTGCTCAGTGAATGACTCAATTGACTGTGATCCAGTGTTTCAAGTCCTTTTGTAGGAAAAGATGCTGAATTAGTTAAAGCAGGAAACAAAATGAACGCCCTCGCCATGCAAGCTGCCAGAACATTCCTCCGCTGAGCCTTCAGCTTGCTGAGAGTCTCAATCAGTTTTGGCATGGAGAGGCTGCACATATTGGAGTAGGCTGATTGGCTTTTGCGTCTTGGCTGATGAGAAGGAAATAAAGGGAATGGTTAGTGATTAAATTCACTGGCAGCCTGCGCCGCACAACACAACGCTCACACACGCTGGTCTGTATTTTTATTGTTGGACTGTAATCCTGTTAATGAAAAATGTGCTGTTTTTCACAGCCACTGGCATGGGGACCGCCAACCCTCTCCGATGGGGATGGAGGTGGGATGAGCGTTTGTCAGCCAAAAGCAGAGACACGTTAATCAGGGAAGAATCAAAGGGATTTGTGTGCTGGACACAAAATGGAGGTGAGCAGGTAGAGCTCTGAATCCACGAGACTCTGCTCAGATCTGGGTTTTTTCTGCCCTTTAATGATGAACAGATTCGAAGCCAACCGTCAACACAAAGAAAGCAGCAACTCCTGGAAAGACAAACCATTTCTAAGCCACAGTTTCACTGCTGGCTCCAATTTCCTCTCAAAATCCTGCAGATGAAAGAAGGCAGACTCCAGAAATGCTCCCTTCTCCAATTGTGTGCATGTCAGATCAAGAAAAATACTATTTTCTCTACGTTTACGTTTCTGTGACCTTCATTTTGGCCTTTGACTCTCACTGCTCTCTTCAATTCCTGGAGGAAACAATCTTTTTATATTAGGTAGACCACTCGCCCCTTCAGCTTCCCACAGATCTGACTGTTCAAAGTCCTGCAGACACTAGAAGTTTGTACAAAAACTGTGTTTGCTCAAAGTTCACTTAAAGAGACAGAAGCAAGAATCACCAAAAGACCCCAGAAACAGGATAATTGGGATGGACTCACATGGAAGTGTGACAAAGCAGCATTTAATTATGTCTCTAACCAAAAAAGACCAGAAAGACCCCAACAAAGAAAGATGTGATGGACCGACCTGGATCTTGACACAGAACTCCACTTAATCATGTTTTTAACCAAAAAAAAGGCCATAAATCCCCCAACAACCGGAATGAAATGTGATGGACTCACCTGGACTTGGAAACAGAACTCAACTTAATTATGTTTTTAAGCAAAAAAGGAACAAAGTGACAGGACTTTGTGATTGTTGCTATAATTTAAAACAAAAAAAGAAGAAATACCAGTCCCTGTATGACTCACTTCATGAAGCCAAAGTAATATCATGGCAGACTAGATTAGTAACAAAGGAAAAAAACTGAGACATATAACATGATGCAAACATTTGAATAAAGCATGAACAGATACTGTGGATGGATATTAAAAATAAGCACAGGTCCACTCCAGTGAGTCTGCTGTCATGATGGGATGTGAGCCATACAAAGCTCTCGACTTTCCCGTCTATTTTCCACCTCGGACTCGAGGGGCTGAGAATAAAAACGAGCCCTCGTTCGGTCCTGCATCCACTAGAACTTTGGATCTGAAATGAGGCGACCTGTGCTTCTCCATCTGGAAGCAGATTTGTGTGAATTAGTCAGGACCGGCCTGGTCTAATTAATAAGGCCGCGCGGCTTGGATCTGGGTTTGGAGGGTTATTGTCACCTTTGGTGCTCCACATGCAATAAACACTAGATTTAAATGAACTGGGAGTAAACTGTAAAATAAGACACTTAGTCACTGAGGATATGCTAATAAGAATATTTCCTTTGAGAGCGACGCTGCTGTGCTGAAGCTGTTCCTGGGATGGATGTCTCATGTCTCCGACTGTGATAGCACTCAGCAAGGAGAGCCACTTATGTCCATATGGTTCATTTTTCATGCATCAACATTATCAGCAATCTGAAACTACATTAATTCCACTGCGTTTCGACCCCTGAAATAAGAGACAAGCTGTGAAATAATTAAGTGTAGAGTGCAGATTGAAGGCATGAAAAACAGCAGATCAAGAGATAAACGCAAAATAATGCTGTTGACATGCTCCCTTCGTCTGCTCTATTTTTTGTTTTAGATTAGTTCTCATTATTGACAGGTTTCTAAAAGAAAACGTAAGAATATATTTTTACAGCCATCTCAAAGCTTCAATGAAAAACACATTAAAGCTAATTTAACACACTGTATTCCCAGATTTGTACCCAATTCATTGTGATACAATCATAATCCAATTAAATGTAATTAATTTAAGAGATTCAGAGGTGATAACTAATTAGGACCACTAATGAACTAAATGTTCATCATCAGGCCCGATTGTGCACCACTATGGCTCCCTGAACTACTTCCATGCAGATGACACTCAGCTCTATGGGCGACTCCTCAACACTGTGTGGGCCTCAGACTGTTTCTCTGAGACCCCCTAACAGACCTCCCAACAGACCTAACAGACCTCCTAACAGACCTCCCAACAGACCTCCCAACAGACCTCCCAACAGACCTAACAGACCTCCTGAAGACCTCCTAACAGGCCTCCTAACAGACCTCTCAACAGACCTCCTAACAGACCTCCCAACAGACCTAACAGACCTCCTAACAGACCTCCTGAAGACCTCCCAACAGACCTCGTAACAGACCTCCTGAAGACCTCCTGAAGACCTCCTAACAGGCCTCCTAACAGACCTCTCAACAGACCTCCTAACAGACCTCCTGAAGACCTCCTAACAGACCTCCCAACAGACCTCCTAACAGACCTCCTGAAGACCTCCTAACAGACCTCCTGAAGACCTCCTAACAGACCTCCTGAAGACTTCCTAACAGACCTCCTAACAGACCTCCCAACAGACCTCCTAAGAGACCTCATGAAGACCTCCTAACAGACCTCCTAACAGACCTCCCAACAGACCTCCTAAGAGACCTCCTGAAGACCTCCTAACACACCTCCTGAAGACCTCCTAATACACCTCCTAACAGACCTCCGGAAGACCTCCTAACAGACCTACTAACAGAAAGATACAGATTGAGACAACTGCAGCCACTGGGGTCAGATCCAAATCCCTGATGCTTGGAGTTCCTCCTCTCAGAGAAAACTAACCCCTAACAATGTCAACCTGCTGTTTTGCTTGAAAAGGTCAGTTTAGGCAACTGGACGTGACGTTTTCTAGATGTTTGACCAAGAAGATTCTTCAGTTCTAACTGATGGTGGAGCTCTGAGATTAATATACTCTCGGTGCAAGAAGAGAATTCGGGTGATTGGTGATTGGTGATTGGTGACACGGTGGTGTGGTGGTTAGCACCATCGCCTCAGAGCCAGAAGGTCCTGGGTTTGAGTCCCCTTTCTGCCAGAGGGTTCTGGGTTGGAGTCTGCATGTTCTCCTGTGTCTGTGGGTTCTCTCCAGGTTCTCCGGCTTCCTCCCACCATCCGAAAACCTGCATGTTAGGTTGGTGTGTGTGGTTGTTGGTCCTTGTGTGTCTCTGTGTGGCCCTGTGATGGACTGGTTGACTGTCCAGGGTTACCCTGCCTCTCCCAATTGACCACTAGGATAGACTCCAGTTCTCCTAGCGACCCCATTAGGGAATAACGATAACGATAACGGATGGTGACGTTTCCTGATGTTCCAGTAAGTTTGTTCTGTTTCCTCGTGATTGTCAGAAATGCAGATGTCTGTGACAGTGACACCAGCGGAGATGCGCGGACAGCATTCCCTACACAGACGCACGTCCTGCTCTGAAGCTGAATCAAACGCTGATCAGCAGCCTCCAGAAGATTGAGCGTGACAGACGGAGGGATGGGGCCGTGGACGAGCGCCGGGCCTCCGTCCCCCTGTGGGGGGGGCAGCAGTCGCACCGACGGCTAATTAATAAAATTACATGACAGATGGTGCTGAGGAAGCGTTTCCCCCACAGGACGCTGTCGGAGGAGCCGTTGGGCCGGTGAGGAGCCGAGCAGCAGCACTTGAATGAAGTCTTCTTATTATGAGACCGGGAAGCTCTGGGAGGGACGGGAGAGGGGGGGGGGAGCACAGACAACAAAAGCATGATGGAAAAATATTGCTCTTCCCTTTTGGATGTGATATGATCGCGGCCGGGCTGATATTGCTTTGTGGAATATTGCCGGAGAGCAGAATTAGATTGGGCCTCCCCCCGCTGGTTTCCACGATAAGGCCTCAGGAAAAGCCGCTTTGGATCGACCCGCCACACACAAGCAGGACAATGGGAACATAAACAGATTATGGGCCTTTGAAATGGCTTCATTTCCAGGCAGGGGACACACAGCCAACCCCCCCCCTCCATCCTCTTCTAGCCACCCTCAGAGGCTGGTCACCCATCATCTCATTGTGAGCCGTGACGTCTTTGTTTTAGCTTCACACCTGTTGTCTGTCACTCGGCTGATGTGTGTTCCCTGAAGTTTGGAGCAGTGTAGACCCCCCCCCCGTGATCACCACCGACAGGAAATAAAAACATAAAACAGGGTGTCAACTCAGATTCAGGGTATTCTG